GTGTCAGTAAGCATGCGGATAAAGGGCATCCCAGGAACATAATGGATTTGAATGTTTTGAAAAGCCTTTGACAAGGTTCTATATCAATTCTTATTTTAAAAAAAAGATATTGGAGGGAATGCTCATTACTAGTCTTGGAGCTGGCTAGAGTTGAAAGCCAAATAGGGTATAGTGAACACTTTTTTTTGAATGGCACAGTCAGTAGTCATATCCCTCATGGATTCATGCTGGGAGCAATTCTGGTCAACATCTTCATTCGTGACCTGAAGAAGGTAGTGAACAGAAGTTTGTGGACAATGCTAAGTTCTTCTGGGTAGTCAAATGCTATACCAAGGAAAGGAACTCCAAAAGGACTCGTAAAACGGAGTGGGTAGGCAAATTAGTGGTAGAAGAGCTTCAAAAGCAAAGCAAAGCATCTAGGTAAAAGTAATCTAAACCTTCTTTACACAGTATTGAGCTGAGTCACAACGCAGGAAAAAAGTCTTGGAGTCATCATTGGCAATTCTCTGAAATCATTGACTCAGCACAAGTAATTTTCAAAAAAGCCAACAATGTCATCATCACCATATCACCAGAAAGGGTATTGAGAACAAGACAGAGGTGATGTTTTGTCACTATACAAAACCTTAGTGTGCCCATATCTTGAATATTGGGTAGAGCTTTAGTGTCTGCATCTCAAGAAGGAAGTAGTGAATTAGAGATGATACAAAGACGGGGAATTAATGCTACAGGGCATAGAGTTGCTGCCTTAAAAGGAAAAATTTAGACATCTGGGATGCTTCAATTTAAAGAGGAGTAGGCTGAGGTGTAGACGCAACAAAGAGTTTAGTGGATAAATGAAAGTACTTCTTTACACATCAGGTTTGAACCTGTGGAGCTTGTTGCTGCATGTGGTTGTGAAGTGGGCAGTATCAGCAGGTTCAGAAAGGGATTAGGCACATTCATGGGGAACATGGATACTAACAGGACTGTGCCAGGGATAATACCTTCTGATTTTCCCTAGTACAACAATTACGGATGCTGGAGAAGTATGAGGGGAAGATACTGTAGGGAGCGATAGGCTCATGTGCTCGCCCTAAATGCCATCTCTTGTTGCTACTCCTGGAAACAGAGTGCTAGGCTACAGCTACCTCTGTTGTGATCCAGTACAATATTATTTCTTATGTTCTTATGTCTTGGTTGTTTAATGAAGACATTTGCTCAGAATTTTAAATGGAGTTGGGGCAAGAGGCTGACTGAGTTTGTCCAAGAGAATGGCTTCTCCTAATTGTGATCCATTGGTATTGCTCAGTGCCAGAAAGGAAGAGTAGACTGAGCCTGTATTTTACTGGTATCATATACATCTTCACTTCTTCCAGTTTCTTTGTATCCAAAGTTAGCCAATCAAAGTGATGGAGTACTGTAGTTTAATGAGTAACCACATTTGAGCTGATGCACAGTGACCGACCAAATGCAGCAATTACCTGCCCCTCTTGCCAAGTAAAACACAGTAGCTTAAACCATGATTTAGTCTGACAAATGATTTGTGGTTTAAGCCTAGTACCTTTTGATTCACAGACCAACATACAGTCAGTTACTGCAATTTGGGTGATGAATGTTAACTCATTAGGCTCCAGTACTGAAATTTTTTCCAGCTAAAATCTCTACCCTTCTGTGCACTTTTTTATATTTTCCTCCCCCTTTTATCAGGCTTTTTCTTCACAGTATTCAGCACTCTAGCCTTACTTAGGAAAGGACTGTGTGTGTTTGAGAATTAGAAGTGATATAACTTGCTAGGGCCCAGAACTGCAGATTCAACTCAACAAATGCTGTTTAGATCACTTGGTGTTTTGGTAACGGATGTAATGTCAAAGCCACTGATGCAATGAAACACACGTGCAGTCTTGGCTGTGGAAGCAACGTCTGACAGAGATGGATCAATGACTGCATAGCTTTTAAAGGGAGTCCTTGTCAACACAAGTGCAACAGAGCACCATCCCCTCTCTATCCGTGACTAGAAGAAAGGAATGAGAAACCACTTTGAACCAGATGGTGATTCCTTCTAAATGAAATAGGGGTCTTGAGATTAGTATTTTCTATGAAGTTCAGTTTACTCTTTGTGTAGAATCATACAATCATAGAATCATTTAGGTTGAAAAAGGCCTTTAAGATCATCGAGTCCAACCGTTAACCTAGTGCTACCAAGTCCACCACTAAACCATGTCCCTAAGCACCACGTCTGCATGTCTTTTGAATACCTCCACAGATGGTGACTCAACCATGTCCTGGGCAGCCTGTTCCAATGCTTGACAACCCTTTCGGTGAAGAAATTTTTCCTAATATCCAATCTAAACCTCCCCTGGTGCAACTTGAGGCTGTTTCCTCTCGTCCTATCGCTAGTTACTTGGGAGAAGAGACA